AACTATACACAGATCCTCCTGAGACAGGTTCATAATGATGGAACCATTCTCTTCTTGAGGTCATGTGATATGTTGCTCCCGAATCAATGAGCCATATATCTGCATATCTCTTTCTACCTTCCACGGTAGTTGACGTTTCACAACATAGAGCATCTCCATCATCTGAAGTGTTTACAGTATTGCCTTGTGGATTGGAGTTTTTATTTAGACTCCAACAATCCTTCTTCAAGCAACCTTTCTTTCCACAATTATAGCACTTTAAATTCTTCTTGCTCCTCGACTTCGATCTACCATGTTTGTGACTGCTGCTTTGGCCACGTTCTGTTGATCTCCCTCTCATCGTTGTCAACATTTCTGCTTGTTGCAGATTTACGTGTCTGTCTTCCTTGTTCTTGCGCCGATTTTTTTTATAGAACAGCAGCTGCAACGTCATCGAAGACTAGACTAGTGATATTATTGTTTGTCAAGTTGATGATGAGTTGATCATACGAATCAGGTAGACTTTGAAGTAGAAGTTCAACACGTTCTTGTTCTCATATTGTACATCTTAAGGATGTAAGCTGAGAAAATAACGTGTTCAGTGTGTTTAAGTGCTCCGTCACTGAAGTAGATTCTGACATACGAAGAGTGTATAATTTTCTCTTAAGGAAAATTTTATTATGCAACGATGTGGCCTCCTATAGTTTGGTGAGATGATCACATATCTCCTTAGTTGTCTTCTTCTCCTCGATGCTTGAAAATACTTCATCTGCTAATGCTAGATGAAAGTTTGACATATCATTTCCGTCCATTTCGATCCATTTGTTGTCATCTGTGAAATCTACCGGCCTTTCACTTATAACTGCTAGACAGCCGTCTTTCCTCAGGATGACCTTCATCTTCAATTTCCACAATGAGAATTTTCTCCCATTAAATTTTTCAATATCAAATTTCGTTGTCATAGCTTCTGTTACGGATAACTCCCATTATTTCACTATCGTGAATAGTTCTCTGGAACCTTCAAAGAATGGGTAATAATGTAACATCCCCAAAAGCCGGATCAGTGACTAAAATGTAAATTTTGGAAACTGTGTGCTCAATTTTGAAATAAGTTAAAAGTATTGGGATTTAAGTAAAGAATTTTGATGATGGATTGAATAGCATAGATGGATAATTAAAGGGGCAATTTAGTCTTTTCAGCTTAAAGGATATTTTGTATTTCCTTTAAATACAGGTGAGATACGTGGGTTTTGGGAGAGTTCTGGAAGCCTTCTTCTTGCTCTCTTCTTCTTCTTCTCGTAGCTCCAGCTTAAAGGTAAGTTTGATTTTTAACTGTTAATTTCTGGAATTTATAAGTTGGTTTTGAATCTTTGGGGGTTATATAAGCTTAAGGAAAGCTTGTATAAACTTAAAACATCAAGAAGGGAGAATTAGAAAGGAATTTCTATTAAAAGATTAGAAATGAAATTTTGATATAGAAAGGTTTTTGAAATTCTAAGGATGAATTTGACTTGTCATCAATCTAATTAAGAAGTATAAAGTGTTAGAATTGGATTTAGAACACATTGAAAATTTGGTATGATTTTTTGAATCTCGTATGGAATATAGGATTTTGAGGTTTAAGATGAAATAAATGAATATAGATTGGTTTAAGTATGTGTACTAGAGTTAAGAATGAAAAGGGGATGATATATGAAGTGTTTGAGGGGAAATGAAGTAATTTTCGGGTTGAAAATATGATTTCTGGGCAAGGGGAATCGGTACCCATTCAAGGGGAACCGATACCCCTTCAAACGACAAAATTTCCAGAATGTCATGAGGGAATCGATACCCCCTCAGTAGGGAACCGATTCCCCCTAAAGGAAAATTGGGAATATGGGTTTAATAAGTTCGTTTAAGTTGCTAGTATCAAATTACAAGGTGTAGGTATCTAATAATTGCCTTAAAATGTATAATTATGTAGATTCAGAGCTTAAACGAGTTCCGGAACCATTGACAAGTAAGATCGATCAAGGGGAAAGATAAGAGATTGGAATTGACTAGTGAGGCCAGGTGAGTGCATATTCAATAGTATACGATGTGCGATGGGAATAAGACTTGCGATGAGTCTATTTCCTAAAGTGTTACACATGAATTCATGATTAAAGGCATGAGTGGAATATGCATGTATGTATGCTTGATTATATGGATTGATCTGTTCTTTTATGTGTTGGATGATAAAGTATAAGTAATTCCATAAGAAAGATTATGAATTATATTAGATATAAACTATGTGATCATAGTAAAATATAATTATTATTATATGATAAGTGAAATAAGCTGGATAATATTGATCTATAGGATGAAGTGAGAATAGTACACTAACTAGGAGATTTGAACATAAATGATAAGATGAACATATAAGATAAGCTAGATGGGAAAGATTCATATGTTTAAATAAAACTATAACACATGGGTTGTATGATAGAAATTATGAAGTTATATGAGAAGATTATAGGAGTTATATGAAATTGAATTAAGTAAACAGATTAGATTATATATAGAGAAATAATAGAAGTGAGATATGTTTATAAGTCTGCCCTAGATGAATATGAATACGAAATATAAGAGTGCTATATGATTTATATTAGGATAATCTTGAGGATATATATATATAGATAGATATGAAATGAAATGGAATGAGTTATATGAATACACAATTATGTGATGAAATGGTGGATTGCCTGAACATGTGAATATATATATATATATATATATGTCTAAGAGAAGGCATAAGATTAAGATATAGCAATGTGACTATAAGTATATGTGCTCTAAGTGATATGACTTATAAGTATTTCTATTATAATGTTACATGATATGTTATGTATGTTAAAGGAATTATGTGATGGTATAAGAATTGATATGAAATATATATGTGAAAACAAGTATATGTTATGAGACAAAACCTATGATTATAAGCTACGTGAAAGTGTTCCTATCTGTTATATGAAGTATATGATCATATGTGAACAAGATATGATGAGTATGTGTACATGAATAAAGGTGATTGGGTGAGAAATGATAGAAATTATATGAAAACATGACATATGTGACATGTGAATTATATGGGAATGATCTACGTGTAAGTGAACTACGTGACTATGTGATCATATGAAAAGAAGCTATGTGATAAGTGATATGTGAAAGTGAATTACAAGTTTATGTGAATATTTGAAATGAAATAAATGATAACGCCCATGTTATGTGTCATGAGAGCTAGGGGTATAGTTGGCATGCCAAGAGTCGAGGGTCTACGCGGTTCTTCGGGACATATGTATATTCTTTGGAACATGTGTGAAGTCTGGAAAGACACATACTTGATCCCTAGCATATGTATATGATTCTTAAAGAATTCTATGTGGTCCTTATGGACATTATTATATGGCACTACGGTGCAATTCTACGCGGTTCTTCGGGACATATGTATATTCTTTGGAACATGTGTGAAGTCTGGAAAGACACATACTTGATCCCTAGCATATGTATATGATTCTTAAAGAATTCTATTTGGTCCTTATGGACATCATTATATGGCACTACGGTGCAATTCTACGGGGCACTTCGGTGCATTTATACGAGCTGTGGTGACAGCATAGTGCACAACCTCTATAGACTCACATATCGATAGTTCTCACATATGTACATGGGCTAATCCAGAGATATGAACAAATATAAGTTAGTGGTATGATAAATGCTATAGAAATGATATGATGTTATGTGTGTATAGTGTTTGATTGAAAAAGTATGTGATTATATGATAAACTGTTAATGATGAATTATGTGTATGTATGTATTTACTGCAATTAATCTGATATGATTTTATACGATATGAAAAATGCATGGAATTGCTATAACATGATAGAACAGAACATGCATGTATCAATATATGTTTTAAAGTGCATTATAAGTTGTTATGCCTCACTAAGTCTTCGACTTAACGTGTGATTGTTTCACACGTAGGTTTCGAGAAGAGTAAGGAGTGATGCGGAGCAAGACAGGTCAGATTTCCTTACCAAAAGATCAGATCAGAAATATTTGACAAAGTATGTATTTGGTTATGTATAAAGTGTTGGCATGTAATAAGTCATTAAGTACGAGCACTCTGATAAAGTCTTTATTTTGATTTAAATAAAGTTTTAAATTTCCCGGGATTTTTCTTAAGAGTCAAGATTTGAAAAGTCAATGTGACACTTCGGACTCGTATCCGGGTCGGATACGGGTTGGGGGTGTTACAAATAACTTCTTACTTTCTTATGTTGGAGGATCCACCTTTTGGTGGCAACCACAAAGACAATAAACAGATATTACACACTCTAATCTAGCTCGGATATCAATTGTTGCGGAAGACGCCTATCGGATAGAGCAAAATCGCAACTGATAATTTGAGAAAATAAAAATGAAGATAAAAGAGACAAAATTTACGTAGAAAACTCCTAAATAATATAGGGTAAAAACCACGGACAACGGTAGAAGAATTTCACTATGAGAAAATAGGAATTACAACTTCTCTCGATCTACCAAGGAGAAAACAATGATAATTCTCTTTTGATAAAAAGGAGAAAACAACTCTCAATAAACTCTCTAAATTCTCTCTAGTATTGGAAGAAAACTAGAATGCTTTGGGATGGTTTTGAAGCTAAATGAGCTATGGTATTTATAGTTGAAGCTTAAGGACTAATCTTGTAAATACTCTAAAGTACAATGACTAAAATGTGTAATTTTACCATATCACTTTTCAACCATTATTAGTGCCAACTATGAACCGTTATTGTTGCCAACTTATAATTCATTATGAACCATTATTATGCATTATGCAACTATTATTAATTGCATGACAACTAATAGTAACAAGTACACACAAGAATCATCCCCGAGAACAAAACTGGGCCTTGTCTTAATGTAAACTAATATAATGTCGTGACTATGATTACATTAATACAAAAAAAGCATGTGATAATATCTGCTTTTTATAAAATAAAATAAAAAAATGGTTCTCAAGAGCCTGTGTTAACCTTTTATAATGTGAGTTCCTTGGCGATGAGTTTGAGCAAAACTTGTACCAACTCTCTCACTCTAGTTTCCCTGTCATCCAAATCGATTAGGGTTTTGGCTTTAGTAAGAACCAGGAATAATAAAATCCTATGTTGCTCACTCTTTGAAATATGATCTTCCAATAACCCTTTAAATATATAAAAAATTTCGAAATAACCGATCATATTCGTGCCAGACACAGTCGTACTCGAATCCGAGGAACGTAGTTAAATTATTGAATGGAGAAGTAACTTAGAATGAGGTAAATTATCAAAATTTTGTACCTTGATACAACTAGTTCACAGAGGGTGGGAAAAAGAAGCAGCAGATGTGATCGTTTTTTTGGGTTGCCCTCGGCTAGGCCAGTTTTCAGATGCGGGCATATAGGAATAATAGACGCAGTGTCTGCATGAATCACCATGTGAGCCAGTTCATGGAGGACAAAACTTACTTCCGTGAGTCTTGCTGTCGGTAGCGGACGATCACGTGCGGGGCAACCAAATTAGGGTTCATATTTGGTAGCAGCAAGTGAACCAAAAGTAAAACAAGTTAAAATTTGATTATTTGTTTACAAATGGAATATGGAACTATGCTTACCTAGATCATTTTCGTCGACTAAAAATCTATTCAAGATGCATTCGCATCTAGTCATTAGTACCATGATTGCAATTTTGCTGACCTCAGATCTTGTAGAACTCCAATTATCCGTCTCCGGTTCATCATTGAAGATAGAAGAATGTTGACAAAATATCAAGATTTTTGAATAAAAAACAGAAATTATAGTTGCCTACAGATGATTAAAGGATGGTGAAAAGGTTATTAATTCAAAATGTAAGAGATGCTCACAGGGAAAATAGAAACATGATGAACTCTAGCTCATGACACCAGTCAAATATCAAAATATTTAACAATTTCAAATGCTGCATTCTTGTTTACTGATAAAATAATACAAAAGGTTCTCGGAATGACCATAGACATACGGACATTTTTCTCTTTTGAAAAGAAATAATAAAAATAACATTTAAATACAAATGAATGCCATTATGCAAACGAGATTGTAGTCAGCTTTTATAAAATCAGTTATAAAGTAAAAAATTACCACTTTAATAGCTCAGGGAAAATAATGCCTGTAAGCATTTCAAGGAAAACCCACTACAACGCAACGGCATAAGTTCAACAGTTTAAACAGGCAAAGAGCATGTGCGTGAGGCACAACGATCCAATGTGGAAACAGGCCGCTGGAGAATCTGTGTTATAAACAGAAGAATTAGGAAAGCGATGAAGATGAACCATGCATACTTTGTCCCTCAAACTCAAAGTATATTCATCACAGTTATCCTATTCAACCAAGTAAAACCGATCTAAGTGGTCTAAATGAAAATAAAAACACGAGACGAATAGAAACATAGAGAATTGCTTTAAGTTACTCAGATTGGGGTGAGTAACTGAGTGTCCGGTTCAGGTATGTGTCCGACACGGTTATACTCAATTTTTCTTTCTTTTTTAGTGCATCTGGAGAATCTTCAAAGGGTGATATCTCATGTCTATATATGCATCGGATACGGGTACTTCAAGAAAATAAAGAGTCAGAGCAACATAGGGATTGCTTGCCTCAATAGGAGCATCAACTGGAGACTTAAGAATCTCCTCACTCAGAATGTTTACTATGGTCATCTCTAGAGCAGGGTTTCAAATTGCGATCGCGTTTTCGGTCATTTCGGGTTTTCCGTGATTGTGGCCGTCGTGGGTACTATTGATGTTGTCGCGGGCGCTATTGCAGGTGTAGCGGGTAACTCGGTCGACGACGAAACCGCTATTTCGCGGGAACTATCACGTTGTTGGAATTGGAAGGAAGAGCACTGCTACAATAACCCACTAGGAATATTTCATAGACATCTGCAATCTCTTTCCATATGCGCAATCTTGCAGGTCTACTAATTTCTGAATCCAGTCGACACTCCAAAGCTAATTTGCTGACACCATCAACAAGGATCCGGTGGAAGCCTTCAACAGCTAATCTCCAAAGTGAACCATCTAGATCGTCTCTCCTTGTTGTCATTGACCTAACAAAATGAATCCTTTTTATTGAATGAACTAAATAATTACTTCCAACTCAGTAACAAACAAACGAAACATATACAATTATCCAACATCAGATTCTATCGGGAAAAATGATGCAATATTTATTACTTCCCTTCAAACTTGAAAAAAAGAAAAGTAAAACGGAATATTGTCACAGCAGCAACCATTTTAGATAGGTAACTGAAAAGTATAGCTGCAGTAGAACATGAGTGTTCAGAAAACAGAGTATCATATACCTTCCAAGTCTTTGGATAACTTCTGTTAAGAATGATATACTTTTTGGCCGGTGGAGCTTTTAGCATTAGATCTACCAGAACAGGAATAAGCTTGTCGCCTAATAAATAATTGGGGCTATTAACTGTTGCAGCTGGAGAAGAAACGAAGGTTAGAGATAGAATTTCAGCCTTTCGGATAGTGGAAGAAAAAGTACCATTGTTTGCCTCATACTTCACTTTTACATGAACATCTGTGAAACAATACATAAATTCCTTAACATCGGTATTTTAATTAGGTATAGAGATTTCTGATCAACTGCAGTGATTCAGTGAAGTCTCTTCTACACCTGGAATATGGTTACCAGTGATGCCTTGGCTTGCTTAATCTTCCTCATTCGGTGAAAAAGAATCTTGGCCTGGAAGATATTGTAAGAGTTCTCGCCGAAGAATGAGCCACATTGAAGAAAGGTGCTCGGCCGGACATAACATCGGCAAGACTTCCAGCACAGTATGCAGCACATGTGGATCATGTCCCTGCGAAATTGCAGCATAAGCCATTCAAACAAATGCTCAATCGAATACATGAGTACGTTCAGAACATAGAGAGAAAGCTTTTCCAATTAGGCTAAAAAGCAACTTGTAAGTGGCAATTACAACTACAACAGTTATGATATATTCGTTGCCAGAGCCAGTTCTCATAGAAAAACAACTGGTAAACATTGCATAGTTTGCCATCAATGCATGGAGATACATGAAGTTGGCAAAAATGATAAATAGATTACTTCAAAACTTCTTCACACAATGAACCTAATCCAGCTCATTGAAAATCAATACATAGATCTTAGACGATGAAGGAAAAGAAGAGGAAAAGGAAGATTCAGCTGGTGTTTCACACCGTGCACATTATTGCTATCTTTCTTACATGTAGCAGTTGGTTTTGACTAGGGGAAAACTCATGTCATCTTTTGGGGAACTGAATAAGCTACTGAACAATACAATAAGCCTTATCCATAAAGACAAAAAAATGGATGTTACATTTTATATATATTAGGTTTAGTTCAAATTTAAATCTGAAAAATTCACTGGTTAGGAAAAAAATAAAAACTGAAAATAGAGAACATAAACCACAATTATATCTTACGTGTAACATCTAAAACAGAAACTGAAGAGGGGCAGAAGCTCTATAAGGCAGGACATAGATTTATCACGCGAGACAAGAGAAGTTACCTCATAGTTGGTACGCAGTGAAGTCATTAAAAGTGAACATATCTGATGCTTCAAGACCTGTTCAATTGCCATGCAAACTTTGCAACCATAAACGTCTTACTAGCATGCTTAGACAAAATACAAAACAATTTTGAGTCAGGTTATTCCATAATTACCTGCTCATAAGTAACCAAAATCTTGAACGTAGCCATATAATTAGACAGAATAAACCTGCAAAACACAAGCATCAAGTGCAGATATGAGACTTGAAGTTAGAATACATAAATAAGTATCAAGTGCAAATGTCCATTTAATAGAGTTAACACGTAACCAGCATGCCTGCAAGAAAGAACCAATATAAACCCTGTTCTAACAGTGCCTTGAAATGCGGTTCAAGGAATCATTAACAAAGTGAAACATTCCTGAAACCCATTAGTTAAGGATTCTAGAGAATAAATCTAGATATAAAATCACAATCTAACATTTTAAAATCAGAGCTGCCAGGTCTTAAGTTTAGATCCCTCGTCTACGTTAAAAAGATAAAATTTAAGCTTCCACACTTGACATAACATAGCATAAAGCAAGCATACTGTACCGATATCCTAATATAGAGTATCGGTACGCATAACTTCAACAAAAACAGTGTACAATTATTTACCAATACGCATAGGGTACCGATACTAGCATGCCCGCGTACTGGTACACAGGATCCAGGGTATCGGTACGACCAACAGGAAAGAAATTGAGAAATCAATATTGGATTTAAAAAAAAAAGCTCTAACGTAGAAATTAGGGTTTGATTGTTCTAATTAGAGTTGTAATTTAGTAAATATGATACTTAATTCGATTATTATGATTTTCTAATTACACTAATTAAGAGATTATGTTTGAGTTTAGGGTTAGGATTCATGAATTGGGTAATTAGGGAAAGATGATAAGATGGAGGCAGCACCACGCCGGCATCCACAGCCACTGTCGTTGGAGGTGCCGACAACTGGGGAGGTCCCACTTGCCGGTGATTGCTTGGCTGGAAGCTCAATTATGAAACAAATTAAATTAATAAAACTTACCTTAATAGATTGGTTGTGCGAACGGCAGGCACGTCGGTAGGGATGAACGAAAAATACTCACTCGTCGGCGAAAGATGATATTGGTGGCGGAGGTGACAGCGACAGTAGTAACAACAACGATGGCTTACAAGATATTAAAATAAACTACGGTTTATAAATTTCTCAAATTTACATTTGATTTAATTTGATTAAAATAAAATTATAAAAAATAATTTTTTAAAAATATTGTATTTTAATTAAATTACATTTTAATTTTTTACTAAATTATAATTATAAGTTTAATACTTCATGATTTACCATTTTATAATTTAATTTATTAATGCTCATCGTTTATCGTTCTCGTCTACGCTCTACGAACATTGTAAAAATTTTCAATGCTTCAAATGTTCAATACAAGACTGTTTCTCAGTATCTAATTTTAATAATTCTCTTATTCTTAAACTCAGAAATAATAACATTTTTAAAGAAATAAGTAAATAATAATAATAAGGGTATGATTAAAAAAAGACTTGTTAATGTTTAAACTTTTCATCAGGCGAAAACTCCGGCACCCCTCCAAGAAACTGCTGAAACCCTTCATCAGAACAGCAGCACATAGAAAAGAATCCACTGAATCTCAGCTTTCGCTGAAACTTCACTGTATATTGCAGAAATGATAGAATTCTCAACTATTCACTACTTTTTTCATCTAAATTTCTAAAATAACTAAAGTTTGATGTTGAAACACGTCAATGAAACCCCACCTTTTTTTTGGCATAACCCATAACCCGAGATTCCTAAAGAAAATCAATATTTTTCACAACATAGATGATTGAAACTTTATGCTTTTACATTAGCAATCAAATGGGTAAGAGGTTAGTTCATTTTGCAGGCCTCAAAAGAAAGCCAGTTATATGGTAGCATCCCACATTGCAAAGGAAGAGAAGATGGAGGGGATGTTGGTGACTTTAAATAAGAGAGGACGGGAAGTGGCCAAGCCATACATACCTGGACGGGGTCGATGGGCGATCAAGAAGGCCCATGGCCTAGGTTGGTGGCCTCCATTGCACAATGGAGGAGGTGCATTAGCCTAACATCTCCCTTTTGTGGAGAGTGTACGTCATAATTTGTGGAAGTTGGGAGCTCGTGTTCGTGCGGCCCCCTCCAACAACAACGACAAAACAAAGTAACAAACTTGACAATTTCCTCGCCGTTGACAGTTCTCGATTAGCAAATATTGTTTTTTAATTTAGTTGTCTTAATATGAACTTTTGGTTAATACGAAAGTGTTTTTCTTTTTAGGATTAAAAATTCTTTATTTAAGAATTAAAAAATTTAACGAGGTTGTTATTGTGTTGATGTGATTGTTATTATAACATTTAACAGTTAATATGTATATAATATAATCATTAATTTTATTGATGTGGTAGGATTTGATTTTTAAAATTTGATGATTTATTTATTAAGAAAAATTATTAAAATTTATATAAAAATAATAACTTATCAAAAATATTTATAAATATAAAAAATAAAATTTTTGATGAGATGTCAGGTTCAGTTAAAGTTTCACCTTACCTTGAAATGTAGCGCGAAAGGTTAATTTAAAATGATTTTTAATTTAAAAGTTATATATTTAATCTAAAAAATATACAAATTTACAATATTTTTTACTACATACAAATTTATAATATTTTTATTACAACCGAAAAATTACCTTACGAAAAGTTTAAAACTTACAATAAAAATTGTTATAAAAAATATATTCGATTGTAATCAATTTATATTATTTTTTAAGCTTATATTAACGTGTTATATTTTAAAATTTCCGAGTGAATATTGGCAAGCGAAGGGGCGCGGCTTCCCCCAAAATGGGAGAGCTCCGCATACGTCATAACCTGTCCAATATATACTTCAAATTTGCTGCTTTGCCATCCCATATGTTAGTAATTCAATAATTCAATCAACAATGGATCTGATTTTAAAGAGAGTTTTTCACTGGAAACATCAAATTTTGATGAATGTCAAAACCCAACAAGAAATTTATTTCCATTAATCCAATCAGCATATCTGCAATGGAAACACCGAATTTTATTCAAGTTGAAACTTATTTCTGAGAAATTTTGAATGTAT